GGAGAGACAAAAGGAAGGAAACAGAGAGAGAGAGAGAGAGAGAGAGAGAGAGAGAAAACACATGGCCGGCAAGCCACTCCCACAAAGGAGGCCCCACCCGCAGAGTAGGTTCGAAAAATTTTTGAAACCCACCACTGGTTCTATACATCCATGTGGGAAGATAAAGAATAGAAGCAATATGTTGCATAGGCTTAGCAGAGGTAGCTATGAATAATGCATGCTTGAAAGCATTGTCAGTGGAAGCAAAGTTTCCCCAAATACAAAACTTGATTGCCACAACATATGCTGGTGTGCAAAAAACAGAGCACAGCTAAATTAATATTTCGCAGCGCAGCTGAGACAAAATGGAGAAGGAAACACTGCCTGCCATCCTGGGACATGGCCTCCCATATATGCAAGCCACACTTGTGGATGACAACCGGAGGCTAAGACATATCTGAGAGAATAAATATCGGGATTTACATACGGAGAGTTCCATGCGTGCAGATTAGGGAAGTTGAGAAGTTGGAAAAAGGATGAGCAGAAGAAGGGATCGGGGAGTCTTAAGCATCGGAAGAATTACAGGTTCTAGGAGATTCAAGTTCATCGTTGAAGAATCAACACACAGGTCGTTGGGCAGTGCCAGCCGGAAGCAATTAGAACCACTTGTGAATAATCTCAAGCAGAAGCTTTATTCTATATGCAAATACTGCCATAGAGTTCTTGGAGAAGCAAACAATATTGTTTAGGAATTTGGCAGTCATCCTTCTAACAAATAGTTTATGTCTGTCCTTCCTTTCCTCCTTCCTTCTCATCTTCCCTTCCTTCCACTGATATTCCTCCCTCCCACATCCCTCCCTTCCGCCCTTCCTTCTTTCTCATCTCCTTTCCTGCTTCTTTCCTTCTTATCTCCTTTCCTCTTTTTTCTTATCTCCTTCTGTCCATCTTTGCCTTCTTCCCTCCCTCTCTCCTTCCCTCCCTTCCTTATCACTCCCCTCCTTCCTTCTTCCTCATCTTCTTCCCTCCTTCTTTTCCTCCCTCCCTTCCTTCTTATCTCCTTCCCTCCTTTTTTCTCCTTCTGTCCATCATTCCCTTCCTCCCTTCCTCCCTCCATTCTTCCCTCCTTCCCTCCTCCCTCCCTCCCTCCCTTCCTTCTTATTTCCTTCTCTCCTTTTTCCTCCTTCTGTACATCGTCCCCTCCCTCCTTCCCTTACTTTTTATCTCCCTCTCTCCTCCTCCCTCCCTCTCTCCTCCCTTCCTTCTTACCCCCTTCCCTCCTTTTTTCGTGTCTCCTTCTATCCATCTTCTCCTTCCTTCCTCCCTCCCTCCTTCCCTCCCTCCCTTATTCCTTCCTCCCTCCCTTTTCTTCCTCATCTCCTTCCCTCCTTCTTTTCCTTCCTTCCTCCCTGCCTCCCTCCCTCCCTTCCCTTCTCCCTCTCCATGTACATGGACCTGAACATTCACATGGGTGTATTTTGAAACTGTTGTTCAAATATTTGTCGTCCTTAGAAGGCCAGAGTGGCTCCAAGCAATTCTTGGAGGCACAGAAGAGCTCTTTAAACTGAATGAAAATTATCAAAATAGCGTTTGAAAGGGCCCTTGCTTAAATGCACTACAGACATCGACAACACTCCAATGTCCAATACAGCAGGCAAAAGGGCTTGGAAGTAATGCAGCAGGTCACACTTAAATGAATTTCTCCCAAAGAGTGTAACTTTAATAAGATAAACTGCCTTTGCACTAAAACCACAGCATCAGAGATAGATAATAACACAATACAGATCACTTAAATGAACCTTCTGTTAGAGGAAATAGCCAGGCAACAGAAAGTAGTTCTAGCACCATGAAAAAGAGGGCAAAAATACCAAGAAGGCGGAGGAATCCACCTCTTAAAAGAATCAATTTTGCTGTGTATCAGAGCAAAACGGAAAACATTAACAACTTGAAGGCCGGGGGTTAAGTGGGCAGAAGCTTTTTTGTTATTTTTTCCTTGTTCATCGGCAAAATCAATCCACAGAAGAAAGTTTCAAAAGAACAGTTATCTGAAAGAAACTCTGTACAGCATGAAACAAAACAAAACAAAAAAAGATGGAAGATACCTGGCCTTTTCAGATGGATATTTTGGCATCTATTTATATTTATTTGAGCAGCTGCATACCAGGATCTTAAAAGCTCATCCAATGTCCAATGTTGTGGGTGTGTTTGTGGGTGTCGATAGCAGTCTGGGGAAGTGAATTTGGTGGATTCGTAAAAATAGCATTGAGAAAACATGGCTATCTCTGCCATCTTTTAAACAGTAACAGGCTTGGATAGGACCTTGGAGGTCATCTAGTCCAACCCCTGGCTCACGCATGAGACCTGTACTAGGGATTCGAACCGCCAAACTGCCGAACTTTCTGATCGACAAGCTCAGGGTCTTTAGCCACTGAGCCACCTAGTCGGGATTTTGCACTGAGAAGGAATAAAATTCAATGGCCTTAAAAGTTTAATTGTCCTCCTGCTCTGCATCAAGCTAGGATCTTCTATCTTCATACAGAGCTGGAAGATTTAGCAGCAATTTTCATTGGCCTGTGCATTTAATGTTGTCAGCTGTCCAGAGTCACCCCGGATGAGAAGGATGGCAAACAAATTTAACATAAATAAATCACTGCATGTGTGTATCAAACATTAAATTTGCATTCATAAAGGAATTATTCAGATGAATGGCACATACAGAGAGAAAGACATATGGTTGCATGGAAGCAGAAACTTAAGGCTTCATTTTCCTTAGAGTTAAAAGATTCACAACTGTGTACCTATTTAGCAAAGGAATGTTGATATTTCCAGATTACATTTTACAAGCTTGTGTTTTACTTTATGGAATCAGATTCAAAAGCCTGCCTGGCATAAAACTATATATGTTACCATCAGTGCAACACTGCTCCATAGAACTGGGTGAATTTTCAACCAACCAATCAATCAATCAGCTGCCATTTGCCCTGTTGCTTGCTTGGCCAGCAAGCGTTCAGAAAATTATAGGTCAATCTCAGATAAAATGTCCCCATACGGAAAGATCTGTCGCAGTTGTCATTATTTTCTAGGTACAGTTCAAAAAAGAGGAAGTATTTATTTGTCTGATTATTTAAAATAGAATAGAATAACAGAGTTGGAAGGGACCTTGGAGGTCTTCTAGTCCAACCCCCTGCTCAAGCAGGAAACCCTATTCTATTTCAGGAAAAAAAATGCTTGTCCAATCTCTTCTTAAAAACCTCCAGTGATGAAACACCCCCAACTTCCGAAGGCAAGTTGTTCCACNTTAGTCGAGCGCGGTTTTGACGGGTCACCGGCAAAAAATGGCCTCTCTGAACTTCCAGAGGCTTCCAGAGGCTCTTTGAAGGCCAAAAATCAGCTGGCTGGCACATGCATGCGCGCTGCAGCTGATCTAGGGCAACGGCTCGCATGCCCTCAGAGATGTCTCCATGTGCCATAGGTTCCATGGCACATAAAATAAGGGCCTATAAAATAAGCTATGGAGATTAACCTGCTTGGTCATCTGCTCTAACCTACGTTGCATCCCCTTGCAGAATTGGCTACGGGAGGTTTCATGTTGAACAAGAAATTTGGAGAAGTAACAAAGTTGGAAAAATGAATTGGAGAAAAATAACTCAGCTCAAATAACTTAATGCTTCTTTGGAGGGCTTGATGTCTTCGGAGGTATGCTAATGTGGTTGGCCCAAATTAAGACAAATGCTACCAGTGGTGGCTCAACGAGATCGGTTTCCCATTCCTGCTGTTCTTGAATGACGTTCCCTGTGGCTATAATTACCTTTAGTTGTTTTTTTCCTCTTTCTGCCAGCATAATCCAATTATAAACCAATAGCTAAACCCACAATATGTTTTTCTTGCTCCTCAAACTAGGGAGTATGTGCCAAGGAGCGCTCATAAAAATATGGCCTTCATTCACTCCCCGGATATCCGCGTTGTATCTAACATTTTTATGCCGTTGAAGGCATGTTAGGTCAAAGAACAAAGTATTAGCTTTCTCAGAGACGCATGCATCTCTGTATGTGCTTGAATCCATTCCATAGACACATGCGTTTGTGTATGTGTTTGAATGTATTTTTTGGTGCCTGCTGCAGTGTGTGGCGACAGCCAAAAAAGCTAACACAACCCAAGCTAACATACAAGCTAATGCAATTGGTTGTATAAATAAAGGCATAGCATCAAAATCACGTGAAGTATTAGTACCGCTTTCTAAATCCTTAGTAAAGACTGCACCTGGAATACCGCATCCAGTTTTAGTCACCAAAGATGTTGAGACTTTGGAAAAAGAAGAGCAACAAGGATGATTAAGGGGCATGGAGTCAAACGATATGAAGAACGGTTGCAGGAATTGGGTATGGCCAGCCTAGAGAAAAGAAGGGCTAGAGGGGTGACATGATAGCAGCATTCCAGTATTTGAGGAGCTGCCAGAAAGAAGAGGGGGGGGGTCAACTTATTTCCCAAAGCACCAGAAGGCAAGACAAAAAAAAACAATGGATGGAAACTAATCAAGAAGAGAAGCAAGCTGGAATTAAGGAGAAACTTCCTAACAAGGGAGCACAATTAACCAGTGGAACATCTTGCCTTCAGAACTTGTAGGTACTTCATCACTGGAGGTTCTTAAGAAAAGACTGGACAGCCCCCTATCTGGAAGGGTTGTGTTTGACCTCAGGGGGCCATGGTGGGTGGGCCAGATTGATGTCAC